TTCCTCATACTTTGTCCAATAATCTATTACGTACTTTTGAGAAGACATTAAAAGATCTGACTAGACAGTATCATATTGGAGTCTGTCCTAATTTGTTATTCACACAAACCTTTGTGGCAGGTTGCTGAGTTTTGATTGGCCTTAGGAATCCATATTTGGATGTTTTCTTTTGTAGCTCTCTGCTGTCTCTCCTCTGTGAGACTTTGTGAAATTAGCTGAGATTTTTCTGGGTTGTTAGTAAAGCCTCTCCTAAGTTTCTGAATTTCAAAAAAAAGCACCAGTCTGCTTCACCAGTGGAAACTGCAATGATTGTGCCAAATAAAATCATGTAATGACAATGCTCTCATATTCTGGCAACTTATTTTATTATGCCATTTTTATTTATAATGGACATCGAAGTTCAGAGGTGTGTGGTTTACAGCAATTAATCCTAGCCAGCTAACATTCTTTGTAAACTGCTGAGTTTTATTTTAGAACCAAACTGCTAAAAGTTATAATTTGCAATCCTATAGATCATAAGATGAACCAAATTTATGCCATAGCAGATGGATCAATGCTTTGGAGAGAGACAGCCTTGCGTAAATGTAACATAATACACTCACTTCAGTATTTACTGAAGGGAAACCACTGTTATGTAAACAACAATCTTGTCAGTTGTTAAAGTACAGATTGCTTTCAAACGTGATGCAAAACCCCATTTTGAATCCAAACTCTCTATACTGAGCTGTCTTCTGCTGTTCAGCTTCAAAAGTACACTTTAATTCTGGGGCAGGAGTAAAATGTCAGAGTGCTAGTTATATAGTAAAGGCTTCAAACTGTATTGATTTCAAGTGTGGAAGTACCATTGTAAATTGACTGACTGTCCAAAATCACAAGCGGTATGCTGTCTGTTCACTTTAGGAAGCGTGACTGTAGTCTAGGCTATCCATCACACTCGTGTTAGATTGTAGCTGTGGTTCTGCTTGCGTGTAAGTGACAGCCCTCGAGTCCTCCAACTGTTAATACTTGTGGGCACACTCATGAACCTGCTGTTTAACTATTTTGAGGGGGCAGATTGGAAGGTGGTTAGATTGGAGTTGGCAAAAGAAAACAAAATAGCAAATGGTGTCCATCGGTGAAAAACAGATACCATGTATGCCTTGCCGTTATCAAAAGTAACTAAGGCGAGTTACTAGAAAGTACCTGCAACAATCTCACATGCTGGCTGGTGGCGGTTGAAGAGAGAAGAAAATAGAAATTGAATTTTTAAAAAATAAATCAGGCTATTAAACTGGCTGTTACACAGTTTGCTGCTCTTTTTCAGTATAAGTGAAATTGTGAAATAGATTAGGAGCTGTAATTAATGTATTCATTTATGGGATATGAATATCACTTGTAAAGCTGATTCCCATTAGCCTAAATTTTATTTGGGTTGCTTGATGCCATGCTCAGTCAGATGCTGCCTCGATGTCAAGAGCAGTCACTCTCAAATCAAATCACCTCCCAAATTCAGCTTTTTTGTCCATGCTTGGAACAAGATTGTAATGAGCAAGTCTAGACCAAGTGATTCTGGCAGACCCTAAACTGAACATCGGTGTACAGGATTTGGAAAGTGCTATCTGATGGGATATTCAATGATAGCCTTCAAATGAAATTTGGTTATTACTTCAAAAATTTGCAGGTAGACGTAGAAAGAGTGGGGAAATCGGACTAACTAGATTGCTGTTCAAAACAAAACAGATTTCATTGACCAAAATCCCCAGCCTCTTGTGTTGTAGTGTTCTTTGATGCTGTTCTATTCTGCAATTGTATATTCATTCTGCAGTCATGTAGTAAATGAGCTTGTCTGCTGTAAATGGTTATTTGGCTTTGCTGCTTGGCAACGTCTGATCTACATTACCAATGGTGAGAGAAACTGGATGCTTTGAAGTCTGCAAGACATGAAGTCACTTTTGGTGCTAGTTATTTGGGAAAGCTTTCTTGCGGTTAACGTGATAACAGACTACATCATAAATGTATGTATGAATCATAAATGACATTCTTACTTGAGTAAATGTTGTCATAAGGACTTCAGTAAAGCATATGGTAAGGAAGTGACTATGATATGTAAAAGCAAAATGCTAAAGATGGTAGAAATCTGAAGTAAAGCCAGAAAATGCTAGAGAAACTCAGCCAATTTGGCAGCATCTGTGGAGAAAGAGTTAATGTTTCAAATCCGATTTGGCTCCTCTTCAAGAGCTGTTTAATGAATTAATACTGCCACACGGAGAATTGGTGCAGCATTAAAACATACAGTACTGGTTTAAATGCATTTATTCTCTTGATAATGGTTTCATTGCGAATGTTGACCCAGTAAACAATACTACTTAGTATGTCGTGTTCCTGAGGGATCAGTAGAAAGATCCCTCAGCCCCAATTAAACACTGATCAGCTATTCTTTCCTTGTTGATACATTTCAGTTGAGTATAGCTTAGTTGCACAAACTTTTTTTTCTATGAGTAGTGCTGAGTAGGCTGTTCTAGTAAACTGAACCTGTACATTGTTTAATTTTTATAGGGTGAGTTAAGAAACCAATATCAGCGACACTGAAGGTCTGTCCTAAGAAAGAAATGTACAGGAAAGACTGAGTAACTGGGTATCACTTGGTAGATTGGTATGTATGACGAAACTATTCAAATCAATATTTCTGAATGCTATTTTTGAAGTGTACCATATTTTAAAGTTCCCTTTTTAGTTTGTAAATCCATTATATGGCAGAAATACATTAAGTTATGGCACAAAATCTTTCTGTATATTGATTTTCCTAAACAGATTTAACATTGGTGGGCAAGAGTGTCAAGACTAGCATTGTCTGTCCCTGGTTACATTTGATAAGTGCATTCTGTCCTCTTGAACCTCTGATGTGGAGGTGCTGGTGTTGGACTGGGTGGATATAGTCCGAAGTCGGGTGACAACAGGTTCATTTGAAGTCACAGGCTTTCAGAGTGCTGCTCCTTTGTCAGGTGACCAGATTTCAAATAAACCTGTTGGACTATAACCTGGTGTCTTATGACTTCTGATCTTGAATCTCTGCTGTCTCTGTGGTGATGGTACTACCACAGGGCCAGTAGGCAGAAAGGTCAACCTAGTAGCAATCAAGAAAAGGCCATATATATCAGTTGATCTGAAATAAAACAAAGTGCTGGAGACTCTCAGCAGGAGAGTAAAAGTGTTCTAACGAAGGGTCATTGGACTCAAAAGATTATCTCCGTTCTTCTCTCCACAGATACTGCCAGATGTACTGAGTTTCTCCAGCATTTTGTTTCAGATCTCCAGTATCCACAGTTGATGTTTGAATTGGTGGGGAGCCTAGATGGTGGTAAGGTTTTCATGTAACTTGATAAAAGGTTGTGTCTGTCTGCATCAAGCTGTCTCTTTTTTGCTTTTTCTCATTCATGTGTTATGGTTGCTACTGGCTCAGCCAGCAATTATTGTCCACTACTGATTGGCCTTGAGAAAGCAGTCTTTAGGGTGTATGTACATCCACAGAGCAGTTAGGAAGGAAGTTCCAGAATTTTGACCCAATGGTAGTGTGGGAACAATGATTACAGATGCAAGCCAAGATATTGTCCAGTTTTGAGGGGAGCGTGCAGGTGCCAATACTCCCATGGATCTGTTGCCCTTGTCCTTCTAGGTGGTGGAAGTTGAGAATTGAGAAGGTAAGTAGCCCAAACAGTGCCCATCTATTATGGTTAAAAATTGCCAGTGTTCAACCCAAGCGCACAAAGCTGAGTTAATGTTTTAAATAAATTGAAATCTGCAAAATTAAAATTCATAATAGAACAGTGAAGCAGTTGGCATGGCTTAGAATAACCCCTAACATCCATTCCTTCATAACACTAAATGACCAGCCACACAGAAAAATACAATTTAATTGCTTCAATAGTAATAACACACTTGGATAACTGAATAAGTAAGATTTATACAGCTTTGATTAGAGCTATTCCTGCTTTAAAACCACAATAACATAGCTGTTCTTGTTATTTCCTAATAAGTTCTTTACTAAATTAGTTTTCTTGTTAACACAATCTAGTTTGAGAATATTCATGCACTCACTTATCAGTCAAGTTTCGGTTTGTGTACTGGTGCTAATGACCTCGGTTCTTTGACACTGCATTCTGCACTAACTGCAGGAAGCTTGAGGAAGTGATTAACTGGTCATGAGAAAAACAGGAGATTGGAGTTTGTGCTTTTGTTTCCAGTTGAGGTTCAGCAGTAGCCAGTTAAACTGTTGCAATTTGTATGAATAATCTGGTTTAGATCTTTGGCAGGCTGATGAAATTTTGTTGTTTTTTTTAAGGGTATTGAATGGAACTTCTGAAATATTGTTTGAGATAGTAGGAACTGCAGATGCTGGAGAATCTGAGATAACAAGGTGTAGAGCTGGATGAGCACAGAACTTCAGAAATTTCAGAAGAAAGGTCTAGGCCTGAAACGTCAGCCTTCCTGCTCCTCTGATGCTCCTTGGCCTGCTGTGTTCATCCAGCTCCACACCTTGTTATCTCTCTTCTGCAATATTGTTTGTGAACTGAAGTGTGGGTTGACTTGTGCATTGTAGGATGCAAATGGGCAGTATTAATCTACATGCTGAATTGGGCTGGAAACTAGAAGAAAATTCAGTACAAGCATGGAAGACGACTCTTGATCTAAGTTGCTCCATGTGAACTATAAGGTATATTAGTTGGCTGATTTGTGACCATGGATGCTGAATAGTGGGAATTGCCTGATCTTTCTCCGCTAATATAAGGAATTTTAAATTGCTCCCATCCCAATCCTGTCCGTTCCCCAACACCACTACCAGCACCACCCCAGGAAAAGGTTGCAATTTATGGAGATAATTTCCTTTGTGTTCATTCTGGGGGTATAGATCAATTGTTAAGATCGCCAAGTCACTTTACTTTCAAAAAACCAAAGAATTGTGGCATCTGGCGATCGGAAATTGCTGGAAAAACTCAGCAGGTCTGGCAACATCTGTGGAGCGGAAGCAGAATTAATGTTTCGGGTCCGTTCTACAGAACATCGTACCCTTTTCAAAGACCTGAAACGTTAATTTTGCTTTCTGTCCACATGCTGCCAGACCTGCTGATTTCAGCAATATCTGTTTTTGTTTCACCTTACTTTCAGTCTGAATCATTCTACTCTGACCTAATCCATAAGGTAAGCAAAAATGCCATAGACATGACACCCAGGCAGATTTCCTTTGGCACTCCACATTTGAGAATGGCAACTCCATGGATATTGAATCTTTACTTCAGCACTTCATGGAGCTTTATGTTGATGTTTAGTCTTTTTACAGGAGCAGGGGCCCCCTGTCTGAAGTAGGCCCTGATCAGGGACCTTGCAGAAGCCCTGGAGCCATATTTGGGACCCTGGCCGATGACAATAAACTCTATTTAAGTACTTTCGTTTGTACCTCAAAGTGGCACCAGATTGTGACAACAGAATAGTTTTCACTCTGTCTCCCTAGATATGTGACAATAAATCATTTGTTTGTTTATTTTAATGTCCTAGGTATATGTGTATGTAGAGTGCACTCTGTACGCACTAACGCTAATCATACTGAACAAACTTGTTAGAGGCTAATATAGTAATCGCATACTTCATTTTTTGGAATTTCTATTAACCTAGCCGACTTTATTTTTTAGGTTTCTCGTGTAGCCTGAATCATGGCTGCAAATGGCACAAATTCTGGCTCAGCAAGCAGCCATACAACAAAATCACAACTTGGAATAAAAGGTGTGTTTTGAAGTGCACTTTTTAAAATTGATTATACAAGTGTGTGTCCACCTTTGCTTGATTTGAAGTTTCTGACTGCCACTTTCTTTTCCCACAGATGTGTATCAACATTGAGATCTCAATCTGTGGGGAGGCATAGGTTTGAATGCTTATTCCAGGCTTTGTGTCTATTAATTCATCTTCCAACACATTATTACTTTTCTCCGCAGTGCCAATTACTATCCCCTAAACACTAGTTGTAAACAGATAAAATGTTATGTTTATACAGGAGCTAACAATATTACTGTTACTAACTATGCTATACTATCTTGTATTGCAGAAGCCAGTTTGAGACTTTTAAAACAATCTTGACAGATACAGAGTGCAATAATCTCTGTTAGTGATCATCCTGCAACCAACCTACAGAACCTGTAAATGTCCTGGTTCTGATTTACTGTTCCTTTTAATTATTGGTATAAAGCAGGCTCCTCTCCAGTCAATTCATGAACTCCAGCAAAGTGCAAAATGGCACTCACTTATTTCTTAAGGTGTTGCTATTGTCCTCACTGCCATGATGTATTCAAGCAAGTCATAGTATTTTTAAAATACATAGACTTACATAATTAGGCTTAGGAGTACCTCCCTCCTGATGGATGAGAATAATCTACTGGTAATGACAATTTTATCGTTGTTCTTATCCCATACGTAGCTTTGTACCTGGATTGGGACATCAGAGGCAGGGAATTCCAAACTTCCTTCTGTTCATTCTGCACAGTGGACACTAAAACTTTTACGAAGATTGGATATTTAGGAAATAGAAAACATACCTAACCGTGCTATAGTGCAGTATTCTTGTATGCAGTTGAAACATCACATTGGATGTAAAGCACTGTAGTTACTTGAAACCTCTTGCATCCTAAAATTACTACCCTGTAATCATTTCCTTGTACTTGTTGTCTAATGTGGTTGTTTTCTTGGGATGTTATTTTGCTGGTGCCGGCTGTCGTGACATATGCTGGCTGGAGCCCTTTGTTTAATTGGTATATGAATCTATTGCAATTATCAATCTTTTGGATGAATTCACGTGGGATCATGGGGTGATAGTTCGCAATTGGCTAGTAATGTTTAAAAATGCGAAAATGTTGCATTTCAGTTCAATGATTGCAATTCTTTTTAAAGAATTGTTGCCTGTAAGTTTTTCTTTCTATATTTGTTTTTAGTCATTTGCGCAAAGCTGAAGGAAAATAAGAAGAACTGGTTTGGACCCAGTCCCTATGTGGAAGTGGCAGTTGATGGCCAGTCAAAGAAAACTGAGAAGCTTACCAATACACACAACCCCAAATGGAAGCAGCATGTCACAGTGTATGTTGAGATGTCGAGTATTTACTTGTGCTATCACAGCAAACGTAACTGAATTAAATCTGTTCAATGCAACTAGTGCCTGTGACAAGAACTGCAAAACAAAAATAAAAATGTGGTCGTGTTTAATCACGGTATTTTGTTCTCATTGAACAGAAAAAAAGATACTGACCTCATCAATAAGATGATCAAAAACTGAGATACCATGATTTTTGTTTGTCTGAAATATCCCCCATCTCATGGCACCTCTAGATGTAACTTAGCTATAGCCTATCTATTTCCAATATTCTCCCATGTTTTTCCTCACTTATAAAGAGAGATTTGTTGGGACATTTCTCAGTACTGGCAAGTATTTTTGAAGTTATTTGAATGTGAACACCGATCGTTTTCCTCAATTATTAATGTAACATTTTAACAAGAATACTAAAATTATTAATATCCTTGAGAAACAAATATTGCACATTTTATTGCTAATGTTTAATTACCCAGAAATAAACTGACTTCAAAGGTCATAGAGTGAACCACCTTGTGTTAGACTGCAGTTGCGTATAAGTCAAACAAGGTAAAGGCAGACTTTGTTTAATTCAATCATGGAGTGTGGGTGTTGCCGGCTGGACTAACATATATTGTCCATCCCTTGTCGCCCATCAGAAGGTTGTGTGCTGCTTTCTTGAACTGCCACAATCCATTTGATGTAGGTACATCCACAAAGCCAAATGGGCCCATTGATCTGGGGATATGATTCCTGTTTAGGGTGACTTAATAAACTAGTGTTTTCCTAGGTTTAAATCCTATATGAGCCTGATCTTGCAGATTAAGTGGCGTGGTCAGAGTGAGTTTTCTTTCCAGGAGAACATTGGTGAATCATTTTAATTTCTAATACAATGCAGCAGTTTTGCAGGTTTATTTCTAGTGCTAGTCTACAAATTGCTAGGGTTAATGATTAACTTTTATAACTTGTCATGGTGGGATTTTAACTCACTATCATTTGGATGCTTCTAGTGCCATAACTGTGACCACAGAACTGTACACAGAATGATGAGTAGCAGCTTTTTTGTTGTGGAAAAGTTTCCCTTTTTAGGCTTTGACCCTGAACCTGTGTTTCTAATATCACAAATGGAGATCAACTCAACATAGGTTTGAAATCAAGGACTTCTAGTCAGTGACACACACCATAGACTGCTGAAGGGTGCAAGGAAGGATTTTTAAAATATAAATCGTCAATTAATTTATTTTCTCCTCCAATTTTTTTCCACCTTCTGTAGAGTTTGTTCTTTCATGACTATCTTTGTTGCATTACCCTTAGATCCTCCTTATTGTGTGGCACTGAGACTAATTGATCACTCTTTGTCATTTTAGAGTTCTGTGTATAGTTGGCCAGATTAAAAACATTGAAAATGTGTGAGTACCTTAAAGTGGGGAGAAGATCTAGCTTTGCTTAGTTCTTGACCTGTTTACCAATTACAGAAGGTCTAATGACAGAATGTGACATTTTCCAGAACCTTGAGCAAAGATGCAGTATGTGGCTTTCCCCTTCAATCTATGAACACCATTACTGGGAAGGAACTGCAAATGAGTCTCATTCAGTTGAGGTATCCAAAAGAAGTGATGAAAGACAAACATAGGATTAGTTTATAATAGCATAATGGTAGGTCTGTTCCTGTGCTGTACTGTCCTATATGATTTTTTTTTTTGACTCCAAATATCTTGTTTTATTAATTACCTTTTGTTTTATTTACATAGGATTGTAACACCATTCAGCATGATCACGTTCAAAGTTTGGAGTCATCAAACACTAAAATCGGATGTTCTCCTTGGTTGTGCCACTCTGGATGTCTGTGAGACATTAAAGTCGAATAACATGAAATGTGAGTTTGTTGTGTTTTTCAGCCCTGATGCATTAATTAGGCCACTTCCATGTTCCTCGGAGTAACGTAAATGATACAGGTTAGTTAACCATTTGCTGGCTGAAGGATGAGCTGAGCTGCAGTATCTGGGATCCTGTGGAAGGAGCACAACTATATGCATGAGGATAGGATTGCACAAGTGTCTTATTTCTGTTATTAAGTCAGAAGTCACACCACACCAGGTTATAGTCCAGCAGATTTATTTGAAATCTGACAAACTTTCAGAGTGCAGCCCCTTTGTCAGCTGCACCTGACAGAGGAGCAGCGCTCTGAAAGCTTGTGATTTCAAATAAACCTGTTGGACTATAACCCTGGTGTCGTGTGACTTCTGACTTTGTCCACCCCAGGTACCTCTACATGATTTGTGTTATGCTCTTGGAGCAATTCCACAATGTGAACAAGACGGTTTTCAGAGACTCAGAAGCTAATAATAATGGAAATTGGGCCGCCTTTTTAAAATAGAGAAGTACCATTATAAATAACAAGAAAGGAATATATCATTCTCTCATTCCAATTCAATGTAAATGGGAATGGACAGACTCATTCTCAGTTCCTTGTTGCATTTTACCTACTCTGCATCATTCCTGATGTTTTTAATAGACATATTTCATGCAGGTAGTTTTGTAACCTTCCTTTAAATGTTTATTCTTCAAGTTCAGTTATTTTTAAATGTGTTTTGAAATATATTTTGATGCACAGTTTCTTTTTACCTACTCATATCACTTTGTCATTTAACACTTAGTGGATTACCACACACCTCAGGAACCAAGTAATCACATTCTAAAATGGGATCAGGTAGAGAATAAATATAGGTAGGACTGATTATATGATCCCATTCTTTTCACCTTCAAATGCTGTAAATTAGTTTTTCTTTTATTTTTCCTTCTCCCTTGAATTTGTATACTTATTTGTCACTATGCCATATTTGCTGACAGCCTTGCCAAACAGCAAACCTTTTATTAACCAGCACCTATGAGACCAGGAATATGCTGGTTGATCAAATATTCTGGTTGATCCACTTCTCGTTACTTACCAGTTTATCTAGAGTGCTGGATTGTACAGTGCCGGTTAAAACAAAGTTTGCTAAGCCTTGTGCCACTGAACATTGTCAAACTCTTGAGTCTTTCTAGATTAGAATATTTCAGCAAGCTATGTAACTCCATATGGAGTATTGCAACCAAATCAAACCTGTCTTTGTCTGGCAATCACATAAGCACACAAATTGTACATTAAAATTGGGAGGAAAGATTATTGTCCTGAGATGCTGGCAGCAATTGAAGCATCTCTATCTGTCTTTGGTAACTACGTCCCAAGCAGTCTGAACCTTAAGTTCCGGAATGTCCTCCCTCAGCCTGTTTGTTTCTCTTAAACGCTCTCTTCCTTTGTGACCCTTCTCAAAAAATTACCTATTTGACCAAACTTTTAATTATCTACTCCTTCTGCGATTTTGTGTCGGATTTTGTTTGATAATATTCCTGTCAAAAATGCTGGCATGTTTTACCAAGTTAAAAATACTGAATAAATTAATTTTCTTTTTGTATCATGATTTTACCTTTTGTCGTTAGTCTCAGCACAGCCTTAAATTGCAATGAATGCTTTTTTTTTAACATTGGCAATATATAAATTTTGTGGTTTATTTAGTTTTGGTCTTTTATATTGACAAGTGTTGTCAGTCCAGATTTGTGTAATGTATTGCATAAAATTCACACGAGTGGCAAAGAAGTGCTTAAAGGAGTATCTGATGTTCTGAGTGCTCTCTTTATAGAAGAAATTTTTAACTTTGATAGAATTTTTAACTCTTTTTAATGTATATTCTGTGGCCCACCTAAGACCTACATACCACTGTTTACTTCCCCTGTTGGGGCTTTCATCTGTAGATCTAGAATAAACTGGCTGCAAATGAGCACTAACTTATTTGCTGGTACTAACTAGCCAAGCAAGGGTATTGAGGGTTCTACCAAAGCCCAAATTCTCATATATGTTCTTTATACAATGGGGTGAGGCTTCTAGCCTTTTCTTCCTCTTCTAAAATTGCAAATAGATGAGCGCATAATAAGGTTACAAGAGGTGGATGGGCAAACTGTCAATGTTTCTGTGGCTGTGGAATCTACAAAACATGGCTCAGAATAAGGGGCTGTGTAGGACTCCGATGAGGACTTTCTTCAAACTCACTCAGTTTGTGAGTTTTTAGAATTCTGTCCCCAGTTGGATGATCAGTCATTAAGCATTTTCAAGACAAGAGTTCATAGAATAGCGCAGGAAGTTGGAATGGAGGTAGAAAATAAGGCGTGATCTTGTTGAATGGTGGAGCAGACTTGAATGTCCAAACACACTACTCCACCTGTAGTTCCTACTTTCTGATGTAGGGACAGATAAAGTTTAACAACATTTTATAGCAGCAATCTGACATTCTATCTAATTACAGGCTTGAATTTACATTATTCTGTTGTTTTTTTGCTCATTTATTTTGTATGTTACTTTTTCTTAATCAGCAGTGAGTCTCCAGTGAACAATGTTCTTCCGCTGATAACTTTCCAGCTAAACAGTTAATTGAACAAAACATTTCTGATGCATTTTAGTTTTACCTATGTAACATGCATTGATGCATTCTCTCTTGTGCAGAAAAGAAGTAATGAATCATTGCAAGTGTGGTATCCCTGACTAATTTTGCATTTAAATCTTTCTTTCAGTTGATGGTGTGGTTATAAAGTTGCCACTCACAAATGAACGAGACATTGTGGATGGGGCAGGCGAGCTTATTGTGTCCTTGGATGGGTTAACTGTAGATCCGGAAGTCTTAATTAATGGCAACCCTGCAGCTGCAAGAAGTATGTAAGAAAATTGAAATCCTATTTCACGAACATAATGTGTTGTGGGCAATATGTTCCAGTGGATTAACTGATTTTGAGTCAAAAGTTAGCTTTGAAACGACCTTGTTTGTACCATTGTATGTGAGAACCTTGAGAGCTTTGATTAGATGATGTATAAACACAAGCAGTAAGTCGATGCCCAGAATTTGAGTGTTTAGCCTATGCTATGGTGGAATGATAAAGAGAGCTTAAAGACCTGTGTGAAAACATCAGTTTTAAGTTAAGATCCGCATCCTCCATTGGAAGAAGTATTTGTCTCCGGGGTCAACTCACTTGTTAGTGCAATTACAATTTTTGTAAATGTTGCTAATATATATTTAGTATGTTATTGGATCAGTGACATCTTGATTGAAAAAATAATCTAAATATGAAATGTTTGGTATCATGAACAGCTGTCAAAGCTCAAAGTATGTGCATGCATTCTAGGGAATGATGCATTCCTTTATTTGGAAAGTGAATGCGGTATAGGCCTAGGTTTCAAATGCTAAAATTTGAAACATCCATGAAATGTGCATGCCTTTGACAACTATTCAGGTAAAAGGGGAAACAGTGACAAAGTGGTTATGGTAAATCAGACTTTGAATACATCTGGAAAAAAATATTGCTGAAGCATCATGCCATCAGTCCAAAATGATCTCCCATCTATCTCTCAATTGAGCAACAGTGGAAATCAATTTTGTAGTTGATCAATGGAAGATACAGAGGCTATATTTTTCAGCAATTAGCTAATCAAATCAAACATGTAACTCTGGCTGTTAGTAATAATGTGATTCATACTTGCTTGCTTAAAGCAATGTACATTCTTATGCTGATACTTATTCTATTTTGCTTGTAGAGAACATATTCAAGCCTAGTGCCATGTTCGAAATAACATGAAGTGTGAGAAGTCTATAATTTCAACCAATCAGACCTCAATTTCTTTTCCCCCTCGAGCTTTTCTTGGTAGCTTCTCAAGGGATACATTTTGATTCCCGGGCTATTTTTTTGTTTACATTAGCTCCATTTTTTTTATATGACAGCAGTCACTTAGAAACAATTTATTCTGTATTTTGATTTGAAATATGAGGTATTTAGACTTGTATAGGAACACAATTAGAAGAATTTGTCAAAATACTCAATTATTAAATAACTCTTAAATCAAACGTAAAGCCACAATGCACAGGAATGTATTAATTTCCTATCTACCACAGTATTTAAATTGGTACAAGACAGTAGGCCTAAGTTAGCAATTAAAGTTTTTTTTCCAAAATAACTGACACTTTTTACATTCAAGAGCCATAACTCTTTACATATCTGATGAGGTCAAACATGCTGTATTTCAACCACATGCACAAAGCTGAAGCATTTTAAATAGGCAGTTAGAACCCGTCTTGCTGCATCTCACATTTCAATCTCAGATTTAAAGTATTCACTACTATAGGATCCAATACACTTTCTTCCAAGTATGGTAGCTCCAGAGCCAATGCAATCTTAATCCAGAGATTCCACATTCATTTACAAGCAATTCAATAATCTGAGTTTAAAGTTCTTTTTAATCCCATTTAGCTGAGTGTTTCTTTATTGACAGGTTTAAAATTGTTCTCTCTCCATCGCAAATCCACTTTTCTCACCCCGCAGCTGTCTCCTTTGCCCTTACTCTCCCACAACTCTCTTGCAGCCCCCTATTCTCTCCACAGCACCCCTTTTTGCATGTCCCACACAACCAGCCCAAGTATATGCTTAGACCCTGCCGTTGGAACTCCCAGATCGACAAGGTTCCTGATCCTGGCCTTGGCTAAAGGTGACTCCTCAATCTTTACTTTGGCGAAAGATGATTCCTGAACCTAGCTTTGACTAAAGGTGATATTTGCCTATTCTCTCACTGCTTTCTCTCACTTTCCTCACTGCCTATTGCTTCTCTCCTGTTTATTGATGATCAATTTTAGCAGGCACAGGAAAGAACTGCACTGTGATTGATGGTGCAGCTCCTCAGAATTTCCACCCATACTGTTTACTGGGGTGACTTTTTTTGGTACTTTTGGGGCTGGATTCATCCACCACCCCCAAGTATTTTGATTATTGCAACTGATCAGCTCCCATTTCCCCATAGTATATTCTGTTGCGATCTTTTGAAATTTGGCATTCTTATGTTTGTCCTGAAATATGTAACACAAAACCTTCAAGAGCTTGTTTCTTTTCTCAGCAAAATTTAAGGTTCTGTTGCTGAACTAGTAATCCAAAGATCAAGATTAATGATTTGAAGCAGAAAGTTCATGTCCCACCCTTGGGAGCCAGACACTTTAACCTCAGTAGTTAAACTATATCTGGAATAAAATACTGGCCCAAGTCATGGTAGCAATATGACTAGCATTTTTTTAAAATGAAAACCCAGCTCGTTCTGACATCCCTCAGAGCTACCTGGTCTGGCCTGTATGTGTATTCATATGCACAGTTATCTGGTTGATTTTTAACTGCCCTCAAAAAAGACCTTGCTAGCCAATCGGTTGTGCTCAAGAAAGTGACTCACCATCTCCTTCTCAAGTGCAACTAAACTGCCAATAAATGCTGATCCTTTCCAGTAATATCCACATGAATGAATGAATTCAAAAAAATCTGAAATAATGTGTAAAATCAATAACTCAAACCCTCTAAATTTTCTATCTAGCTGTGTTCCACCTAAATCATCTTGGTATTGGGAGCTTTATTTTTGTGCTTTTTTAAAAAAAAAAACTTGAATGCTCATTGTGTGCATCTTAGAGGAAATAATGCCCAGAATATGCCCACCTTTAAAATACTCAACTCTTCAGTTCAGTTTGAAGGTAAAGGGCTTTGAACCATGTTGTGGATACCTGTTTTAGTGCTTCTGCCTACATTTATTTCAGCAAAAGTAAGAATATGACAGAATAAAACGGCATATTCGATTTAAGAGTAATGAACGTGGAATGGATTACTAAGGGGAGCAAGATGTGCAGAAGTGAACAAATATCTGCCCAAAAAAAAGGGATAATAAGCGCTATGCTCTAGATAGGGCGGTAATCAGATGTGCCACAATTGTCCTGCTCATCACTGTGTCCCAAGTTGATTAAATACTTTATGTACAGTGTGCTTCTTTTGAAGTTAATTTCTCTGTGGGTCTCCCCCTATTCCTGGTCTCAAAATGTGCATAAACTGACAATTAGGAAGTCAATCTTGAATCCCTTCTTAAAACAACTTGTGAGGCTTATAAGGAGTAGTTTTGTAGTGTTGGATAGGTAACTTGTGTTGGAGTTTATTGGCGTGGACAATGGAGATGAACCAATGTCTATTCCTCTAATACATCACTGCACAATTGCATTTTCATAACTTAAGTGTACACTTTGATTTCTTTCAGGTAACTCCCCAAATAAGAGTTCCAGGTGTGGCACTGAGGCGTACATACTAAACCCATCAAGGTACAAGCAAGCTTTCTGAATTCTTCATTTACTGTCTTCAAAATTATACATCCTGTTTTGCAAAAATGGAAATCATTGCATTCAGGCCATGATAAGTGCTGTAATGTATGTAGTAAGGGCACAAAAGTTAAATTGCAGATTTCTGTACATGAATCATTCATTAATGAGGCTCATTGTTTCTTAGATGTGAAATCTATCCCAATGAAGCAGTAAGACCTGCCACTCTTGTGCAGTTAAACCCAGTTTTAGAATGATAAATAACCAAATTCATGTTAGAATTGAGCCCAGTTTGCCATGGTACAAAACTCACCTTAAACTATTCGAGTCTCCAAAAATCTGTAAAAGCTTTCATTTTCACAACACTGTAAAGTAAGAGTGGAAGATGAGCTTGGGTGGCCAAAAACCATGACTTTGTCTTCCTTCCTCTGCCTGGGTATCTGTTCCCATTCCGTATATTTTGCCCGTTCAACATCCAAAAGACTTGAGACCTAAACTAGCAGTCACCTACATCTTGCCTTGCTGTGCTGTCTTCATTGTTTTTAACAATAATGGCCTGCACTGTGGTCTTTAGTTTCATGTGTGGATTTCATAATTTAAAGGGGGAAAAAAATCCCCTTTCCTATAGCTGTTTTAAAATGTTTCCTAACTGCTCTGTATTTATTTAAATTTAAAAAGTCAAAGCATGAAAATAGCATGCTTGGTGTATGTGTCCATATATTTTGTGTATTTTAATGCCTCCTTTTTAACTGGTAGCAGCAGGTATGGTAGCATGTCACTGGTGTTGTCCATCTTTTTTTAAATCATGAAGCCACCACTGCTATAACAGGGTGGTTCAGCCATGAATACAAGTTGTAAACAGAGTCTTAAGATATTGTTCAAATATATATTGCTCAAATATATATTGCATTGTCTGTAGCAGTTGTATTGAACCAGTTATATTTTCTATTCTTTCATTCTATTAAATTGTGGTTCACTCTATTAGATTGTGTTGTGATAAAAATGATAAAGTTAAGCTAGTAAGAGGATTGATCATGAATGTTGGATTTCAAAACCAAATTGTAATGGGATTATTGACAACAGTTTCTCATTGTATTGTTAATTTTTCTTTAAAGTGGTATTTCCTCCAAATTATTTCACCCTAATGTGAAACCTGTATCAGGAACTTAGAAAAGGCATCAATCTTTTTTAATTAGTGAGTTATCAGCATTACATTTTTTGAAAATGTAAGTGATCCCAGAATTAGAATTAGAGTTTTTGAGCACAACAATGGCTGTAAGGACTAATACATTGAAAAGAAAACGGGCATCCATGTCTCGTCATTCTGAAGGACTTCCCTGGGACACTAAACAGCTAGTTTGACAAGTTTCCTTTATTTTTCTTTAACTACCACATATAATTGATCTTGATGGATTGATTTTAGAAGTGTCGTTTGGGTTCTACTTAATTCCACTGATATGCCATTAATTCTGATCAGACTTGTACAATCACTTCTAGTGCAAACGGGGATGCCGTTTCTCAAGAAGGTTCATCAGAAATGAGGTCTGCTGATGAGTGCAGCATGAATGGCAAAAGTACACCATCACCATCTCCAAAACCACCAAAGCCAGTGAGACCTCCAAGACCTTCACGACCTCCACCTGCCGTTCCATCCAGACCTGTCAGCACAGCAGGTAAATCCAGAAGTGAACTGACCCTTCGTGGACAACAACTCATTCGTATGATAAAATATATTTTATGACATGTAGTGAATTTCATGATTGGGGTGCTGTTAAGCACTGAAAGTACTTTGAATTCAGATCAATTAAACTTCTTTAAATGGAGATGAGACGGACAGAAAAAGATGTTTTTTAAAACCTAGCTCCTTGGCTAAGCTTTTGATCACCAGCGTCCTTTTGATGTCAGTTTTTGTTTGCTTATCCTGTTGTATCCTGGTGTGATACAAATGGAAGCTGTTTTAGACCCTTTGCCTTTGGGTATATTTTAAAATATGTTTGTTTAGATTTTCTTTATGGCTCTTGGCTGTCAAACGGTGACAGTCTAACGTTTTTTCTTCCTGGCTTTGACTACATTGAACTTTGGTGTGTACTGCTCTATTATAATATATATGAGATTTCATTCTATTGACCCTTTAAGATGTTTATTTTTTAAAATTTTGACCTTGGACATCAAGCCAGGAACAACTAGAAACTCCTTGAATAGTTCATTCATCTTGGGAATAAAATGATACTGAACCTGTCAAAGCATAGTGAATTTTATTTAGGTGCATGTTCCTTTTACAGTTTAGCCAGTATTTTTGAATTAATTTTATTTTGTGCTAGCTTTTGGACAAGGCTTATGATGTTAGTTTCCATTGATCAATACTTAAATCTTCCCAATTTCAGTTCCTGTCACTGTTTTTCCCTTATCAATGTTTGATTATGTTTTGTATTACTGCAGTCATGTCAGGGTGAACTGCTTATATATTATGCCGGTCTGCAAGCCAATAAGTAAATATCAAAGTTCAGTTTGAGGTGTTCCAATTGGTCAGTTGATTTGTTTCTAAAGTTAATAGCACTGTACTGAGTTGCAGACTTTGTTTTTCAGTCAATGTAGGGATGACAGCAAATTCTGAAACAGAAGACAGACATCATTGCCAACTTTTAGTTTTGCCCCATTTTTGCATAGATAAGGTTATCATCAGTTTATTGGTTTGATATTCAGATAGTTGTTCGGTAGTGCAGAAGTGGAGTATACCTCAATAAGTACATTTATTGAAGCTTTTCACCATACACTAATTTAGAATAATTTGCAAGATTACAAATGTAAAAGGGAAGAAGCTGTTATACCGTATGAGAGGAAGGTGCTGATTGGTTGGCAAGTGCATTTCGATTAGTCAAGGTGTTACCATGGAGAATGTGCCAGTTTGATGATAACTGATGTTAACAGCTAAACCCTGTTTCAGTTTAAACAATGCCAATTGACTCCAATTTATCAAGGCATTGCTCTGAGGAGCCATCAAGATAATTTGTTGAGTTGAAACAGGCACAGTGTGTTGCAGATGCAAAGAGCACGCCCCATTCTATTAGTATTCCTATGTACTGGAAGGTATGAGTGTGGCACACTGCAGGCCTAACTGACCATCCTAATTGGTATCTTTTTATTTACAGTCAGGGGAATTGGACTTTGATTATTGCCCATTACTATTTACCCAGGAGGAGGTGGTGGTGAGCTGTGTTCTTGAACTACTGCAGTCAATTCAATAAAGGTGCTCCTACAGTGCTGTTAAAGGAACTGTAAGGTGTAGGAGCAGAAGTAGGCCATTCAGCCCATCATGCCTGCTCTGACATTCAGTGAGATCATGGCTGATCTGATTCTCAACTCCACTTTCCCACCTTCTCACTGTAATCTTTGATTTCTTAACTGATGAAAAATAAGGATATCTTAGCCTTTAATGACTGAACCTCACATTTATCCACAATCTATTCCATCTGCCAAAATTTTGCCCACTCGCTAAACCTATTCATGTCCCTCTGCAGACTCTGTCATCCTCACCATTTGCCTTCCCACCTACTGGCGTCAACTGCAAACTTGGCTATAATACATATACATTTTCCTCATCCAAGTTATTAATATATATTATAAATGAATGTGGCCTCAGCACTGATCCCTGCGACACTCCACTAGTTGCAGGTTTCCATTCTGAAAATGCCCCCTTTATCCTGTTTCTTCTGTTAGTTAACGAATCCTTTGTCCATGCTGATATACTTCCAATGCCACAGATTTTTATAAATTCCATCATTTTTACCAAGTGACATTAAAGAAATGGCTATTCATTTCCAAATCAGCATGGTGCGTGACTTGGAGAGGTACTTGCAGTTGGTGGTGTTCCCTTGTATCTGCTGCCTTTGTCCTACAAAGACTGTAGTTGAGAGTTTGGAAGGTGCTGTCCAAGAACCTTGGGTAATTTGTGCAGTGCGTCTTGTAGATGTGTGTCAGTGGTGGAGTGGCTGAGTGGCACTGCATTCGCAAACAGTTGAGCCAGCTGTTTTATCCTGGATGTTGTTGAACCTGTTGACTGTTGTTGCAATAGCAATCATCTCGGAGTGGAAACTATTCCATCATGCTCCTAACTGTGCCTTTTTAGATTAGGGAGTCAGGAGGTGAGTCTCCGCAGGATTCCTAGCTTCTGACCTGCTCTTGTATCCACTGTATTTATATGGCTAGTCCAGCTTATTTTCCCCCAGGATGTTGAAAGCTACACTTTTCACTACACAGTACCTTTATTTTTTGCAGACACCAGTAACGTGCATACACTTACTATTCCAACTGAACAAAGTAAGCAGCAATTTTCTGGTGAAATGACTAGCTTTTAAGTATAGTCCTAGGTGACTCGTTCTCAACTCTGCTTTTGTCATCAGCCTGTGAAAATGGATATCCAGTTCCCTTAGAGAATGGCCCTTCTTCTACAATTCCACCTACGATCAACACTGTTCCTGCAGCTGTAGCAACGAGTGAACCGGATGCATCACCCAGTAATGGTGCAGTACCACTAAATGCATCCATTTCTCCTGGTGACAGAACATTAAATACAGTGAACAAGGGTCCACTTCCACCTGGGTAAGATTGTATTTTATTTAAAGATGTATTGAATATTCTGTTTAAAGGAAAAGACAATCCCTCAAATACACTTTTAAGAGATTTGTAGTTTGAAACACTTTGCTTCTTGTCAGGGCAACCCTGATTAGATTCATAGCCAATGAAACTTAATTCAAATAGCTATGCTTCAAATAGTTTAAAAAACCAAAAGAACTGTGGATACTAGAAATCAGAAACAAAAGCAGATTGCTGAAAAGTTTCGGCAGGTCTGGCAGCACCTGTGGGGAGAAATCGAAGAGTTAACGTTTTGGGTCCAGTGACCCTTCAGAATTGATGGAAGCTAGGAAAAAGTTTTTTTTACGCAGAAGATAGGGTGGGGGATTGGGGTAAGGAGTAAACGGTAGGTGGAGATAGAGCCCAAAGAGAGAGAAGAATAGTTGGACAGATGGAGTGCGTAACAGTTAGTTTAGGAGAATGAATGGCTGCACTTAGGGGCCATTAGTGGCTAACAATGGGTAGTGTGTATTAGCAGACCATGTGATAACAGTCTGTTGTATGGGATAAAGACATGAGAAAAGGTGCCTCCAATCCTAAGATTGTATTCCGTACGGAAAGCAGTAGAGTTCCCAACTGGAAAATGAGGTGCTGAGCTTCGCTGGAGCATTGCAGCAAGCCTGAGACACCGATGTTGGCTAGGGGAGACAGTGACGTGATGAAGTGGCAAGAAACTGGAAGCTCAGGGTCTTTTTTTGCAGATAGAATGTCTGTTTCCCCTTCCACCCTACCATCTGAGAATTTTTAGCAATTTGTTTTTGTTCCAGACAGTTTAATTTTATAGTGTTTGCTTTGATTCTTGTATAGTTTAGAATTACATTTCCTAATGTTTCCATGCAGCAGCATATACTGAGATATACATGTGACAAACCAAAATGACAATTTGAGCAGGTTATTAATCTTCTAATTTGCAATACAATAATATTAAATATATTTAATACAAACAAAATTCAATTCAAATGTGTACAGATATTAAATAGCACCAGTTCCGCTCTTCTGGGCTCACCCAGACTGGTACCGATACTGATTATTTTTGTGTACTCCCTAAGTGATTCATCCCTTCACTCCCTGCTGCCATGAGGGAAATTTCATCTGTGTTTTCTGACCCTCCAATATAGTTTCTATTTGTGTACAATTTCTAGTTAGCTGAAATATTGTTGATGCAGTATCTGGGCAGAAATCATTTGAGTTGCATGCAAATAATAATGTTGAATATCATGTCGGCAAAGGATAAGGACTCATGAACATTTGTGTTCATCCAGAATTGCATGAATAAGTCTGGTCCATTTCTAAGTTGGCGATGCTCATGGCGTGATAGAAATGTTATAAGACGCTAATGAGATGGATATTTTGACCAAAACACAGAATTATCACAGTGCAGGAGGGAGGCCATTCAGCCTATTATGCCTGCACCAGCTCTGTTATCTCGTGTCAATCTCCTGCCTTTTCCCCATATTTCTGCATACCATTATGATCCAAATAAGCATCCAATGCCCTCTTGAATGTCTGAATTGAACCTGCCTCTACTACATTTCCAGGTAGTGCATTCCTTGCTGTAACAGTTTGCTGAGTGAAATTGTTCTAGTCTAACCACCTTTTGCTTGCACATCACTTTAAAACTGTGTCCCTTCTTTCTTGTTTCTTTTACAAGTAGAGACATCCTCACCACATCTACTCTGTCCAGCTTGTTATAATTTTGAAAACCTCAATCAAATCTCCTCTTAGCCACCACCTCGCTGGAAAAGCAGTCCCAACTTCCTCAAACTATCCTCCTAGTTGAAGTTTCTCATATCTGAAGCCATTCTAGTAAGCTCTTCTGCAGTCTCTCCAATACTTTTGTATCTTTCCTATAATCTGGCACCCACATCCGTGAACAGTGCTCTAGCTGAAGTCTAACCGCTGTCTAATAGAAGTTCAGTTCACCTACTTGCTCTTGTACTATATGCCCTTAGTAATAAAGCTGAAAACTTTGTATGCTTTAACGTTTTGCATTAGCTTTATTGTCACGTACTGCTTTCTTCATCTGTTCTGCCACCTTTGATCTGTGCATGAATACAACCATGAATCATGCAGCACAGAAGGGAACCATTTGACCTATCAAACCTATGTTGATTTGATTTTAATTGAGTTTTGTAAATTTGTCAATTTTTTTAAACTTAAATTGCAGCATCCAAAATCAATTTATGCTTATCTTACTGTCAACTCTCCACCTCAGTTCATTCTTAAATATGTTTGACTTGCCAAGGAAGTACTTAGGTTTATATAAAATATATCATATTTTTAAATTTTATAACATTGCTTTTTTTATCACCCCAGAGAATTGCTTCTACATGCTCTCCAAGGCCTTGACGTCCTTTCCTAAAGTGTATTGTTTAGACTTGGACATAGTACTCCAGTTAGGACTTTCCCAATGGTTTGTAAAGATTTAGTCTACCCTTGCCTTTGTAGTCTATGCTTCCGTTAATTAAACCAGGGATCCCATATGCTTTATTGACAGCCATCTCAACCGAACCTGTCAACTTCAAAGATTGGTGTGCATACAATGTATTTTCATAATTGTGCTATTTACTCCATATTCTTTCTCATCAATCTTTCCACTAAAATTTATCATTCACACTTTGCTGAATACTTGAATAAAAGGATAAGCAATGTGAAAATATCAAACTATTGATCACCATGTAACTTCCCAGCAGTGATGATTCCTTTTAAGGTCAGAACCAACTGGTCAAAATATTTCTTTCTGCTCTAGTGTTGTTGATGCAGGTCAGTAATTTACGCAAATTTATATTGCATTGAATTTTGCTTCAGGAATGAACTTTAGTAGCTAGTTCTTAGTGTCAGACATATTCCTTGACTTACTTTCAGAAATATTTTGAAAAGGGCATCGGAAATACATCTTTTTTGTACAATTTCCATTTCTCTCCCCTCTTCCAAGACTATGAAAGCTCCACCACTTCACTGTCTTAAATGGAGTTAAGGAGGCTATGCAAGCAGCACTCCCCTTTCATGGTGGGAGGCAGGGAGAGAATTTTTTTTTTGTTCGTACGCTGTTTCTCTCTTAGTAATACTGTATATTTTACCTATTTTCTTTCCAAAGCTGGGAGCAGAGGGTTGATCAGCATGGCAGATTGTATTTTGTAGATCACATTGAAAAACGAACAACGTGGGAAAGACCACAGCCATTGCCTCCAGGGTAAGTGGATTGTGATTCAGTTTGGGATGCTCATCAGTTAATGGCTGTTTGTAGGGTAACTACCATTTAAATTGCAAAATGAATCGATTTTTTTCACAGGATGGTAATGAAATAGAAGGCGACTAAAATTGTTTGCTCATGTCTTCTTCGGTCTAGCTGCTTCAAGTGTAATTTCTTTGGGCTTTAGGTAGCTTCTTACAGGACTCTCGGTGGAAGGTGAAGTTCACTCAGAGAAAATGTCTCCACCAAAACGTTCTTGGCAATGAAGATTTGAGCATGTCTCCAGTACCACTGGTCATGAGTGGTGAGACAGGTCACAGAAAAGTCAATTTCTTCTGCTCTAATGGAGATCACTGAATAGTGATTTAAGAATATGTATACTGATCCTACCTTTTTAATATCCTGGGAATCTGTGGCCTAAAACAGTATTTCTTTACCTCCAAGCACAAGAAATTGGAATAGGAGGACACCATGTCGCCCATTGAGCTGATCCAACATTCTGTAGGATCATGATTGATCTTGGACTTCAACTCTACTTTTCTGTCTGTTCCCCATTTCCCCTGATTTCAAGAGATCAGACATTTGTCTGTGCCAACATTAGCTGTACTCAATGACAGAGAATCCATAACCCTGTTGGGTACGGAATTCCAAAATTCACAACCCTTTGAAATTTCTCCTCATTTCAGTTCTAAATAATAGGTCCTTAAGGTCATGCCCCCATGTTCTAGATTCCCCAACCAGTGAAAGCATATCTGTCCATGACCTGTTAAGCCCCTTAAGGATCATATAAGTAATCTAACTGAAACTTGTTAACCAAACAAAGTTCCAGTATTGAATTTGGGTCCATCCTCAGCTATTTGATGCAGAGGCAAAATACTTTACACTGGATGAGATTGCTTTGAAGGACTCTCCTCAACCTGTTCTTGCCTGAGAACCTCCTGTTAAATCACTCCTGGTTGTCTGTTTCACAGCCCTTTGGCTCAGTAGGACTATTATGACTTTACCTTTACCTTTTACTTCACATCTGAGCCATTGGACCTGTCAAATGTATCATTATTTAATATTAATATTTAATCCTGGATGACAGTATATTTATTGGAACCAGCTTCAGCAATCCTTATGCCTCTTAGTATTTGAAGGACTAATAATCCATGTAGCTAGCAATTTTTTGTAATTGCTGCACTCCTCTCTCACATTGCTTTATCAGATAGATTTTGATACATCTTCGTAGAGTGGCGTGGTTCTGTGCTGAATCATTAAATTCATCATCCTTGTGCTACACCAGTTCATAATATACACTAATAGTTGTGTGGCATATTGTAGAATGTGTTTGGAAATGACATTGTTGAATTGTGGGAGAAAATGATATAACCAGGGAAACGATCTCCGGTCTGTTTTTAAAGTCCAAGCCATTCACCATGAACCCATAAGCTCTTTTGTGCCATTTAAACTCAAAGCAAAAGCAGCCTCGACATTAAAAATCATTCCACTGTCTCTTTGTGGTCTATCTACTTATTCTTCTGAGGCCACCGATGAAGCTTGTTCTTCCAGGACAGTGGACATGTGTAATTTTATCTCTTAAATTATCACAGTTGCCTAGATAGGAACTCTTAATCTTAGCTCTCCTTCTCTAGCTGATGTACCTGAGGCATGTCTCTTATCTCCACAGGGCTAGTAATCCATTGCTATTATGTATCACTCTCAGGAAATACTAGTTCTATTGTACTTCTTGTAATACATAATACTTATGTCAAGCATTACAGTGGCCATTATTACAAAATTATCGTTAAAACCAACTTCACATTTGGAAATAATGGAGATCACCATCAAATACTGTTTAGTAACATTGCTGGAATGAATAATAATAATCCGTCATTAATCACTTCTTCCTCCGATTTCATTCCTGATAGCTGGGAACGGAGGGTTGATGAGAGGCACAGGATTTATTATGTTGACCACATTACCAGGACAACCACATGGCAGCGGCCCACAGTGGAGTCAGTCAGGAACTTTGAGCAGTGGCAGTCACAGCGAAATCAGCTTCAGGGAGCCATGCAGCAGTTCAACCAGAGGTTTATTTATTCGGTAACTAACTTACTACACTATCTTTTTGAATTTTTAAGGAAAGAACTGGAAATCTAATGTGTAGAAAATCAACATTGTGATTTCAGCACCTTTGAAAAATGTGTCCACCTCAATCCAACATCAGCTGTATTTCCTTTCAATGTATCAGATAGGTACTTGAATAGGATGTATCTGTGTTTATAAATAATGGAATCTCAACGTAACTCCTTTATTCAAAACGGGAGTGAGGCAACAAGTCACAAACTACAGACCAACAGCTTACCATCTGTCAGGGAAAACATCAAAAAGTATTTTTACAGCAGGACACATTAGTAAAGTTCAAGGTAATCAGGCAGAGACAACTTGTTTTGTGAAAGGGATTTTTTTGCCAATTTACTTAATTTTTTTTCAGGAAGGAATAAGTATTGCGCTAAAAATAGGGAGGTGTTGCAAAAGCTGTGCCAGGCAGTGGTCAGACCACAGCATGAGTACCAGGAACAGTACAAACCTCCTTACCTGAGGAAGCATATGCTGGCATTGAAGGCTACCTGGAGAACATTCACTAGGTTATGGAGAGATTTCTTATGAGGAGAGGTTTGTGTAAGTTGGACTTGTGCTCATTGGTGTTAATGAATGAAAGGTGACCTTAACGAAGTGAGAATCTTGGAGAACTTGCCAGATGAAATGCTGAGAAGTGTTTTTCCCCTTGTGGGAGAATCTAGGACCAGAGTGCTTCATCTCAGAAGAAGGGGTTGCCTATTTAAGACCAGGATGAGGAGGAATTCTTTCTCGGTAATGAATCTTTGGAATTCTTTACCGCAGGGGCTTTTAAGGATAGATTGATTAAGTATATTCAAGGATGAGAGAAACAAATTTATAACCAGTGTTTAAAAATAAGGAGTTACCCATTTCAGACATGATGGTATTGAGACTTTAGAGCTCTCTCCTTCAAAAGGCAGTGGAAGCAGTGTCTGAGTATTTTTAAGGTAGAGATTGATAGATTCCAAATAAGCAAGAGAATAGGTTGGAATGTAGGATAATTGGAACAACCATGATATCACTGACAGAATCGGCTGGAGAGGGCGAGTACCCCCCTCCTCATAGTTTGTAGGTTCATCTGTGTCTGTAGATATTTCATTGGAAGTCAGGCTCCATTTTTCCATTAATCAACTAAAATGTGCTTGAGTGACAGTTTGTTGCTCCACAGTTTGTGGGTCCTTGGTCAAACTGAATAAGTTGCTTGTCCAGGTGCCCAGTTCTTATTGACTGTAAACTGTTGAAATTTAGCTTTATTGTTAGATCAGCAAGCAACTAGGCTGGCACCAGCTCTTGTGTGAATGTGTTTTTAACAATGGAAAGTCATAAGTATTGATTGGTATACTGGAACTTGCAATCTACTTAAGTTATACAGTAGAAGTTTAATTATCGGTCACTTACCATGATCTGTTGGTATAACCATGGTCGCCTCTGTTATGGGGATTTTGGCCATTTCACTCCAAATTTGTTTTGTCTCCCTATCTCAGTTTCTCTTGGGTGTTAATGTACTGGATGGTCTTGTTCAGCTGATGGTGTTAACAGGCAGTCTGTGCCTAGTGCTAGCACGACACAGTAGTTGAGGTAGATGGATATGGGTGACTTCACTTAAAGCATTTGAAATTAGGTTGCTCCACAAGAAAAGAACATATCATTTCCACTCTGGGCCTCGTTGAAAATAGCTGCTGAAATTCATAACTTCACACCAAAGGGAACAAGTATGAATCATTGGGTAACAATCAAGCAAAACATTTTAGAATTTCAGCAACAGGTAGAGAAGGCATGTTGTTTCTGGTACTAACTTAAATCTATCCAGACCCATTTACAACCTTGCAGAGTTTTATCAAAGTTGTCCTTCTGCATGACCTCTGTCTAACTGTCCCTTTTTTGTTTTTTTGCATCGCTGAGACTTCGAAGACAGTGTTGTTTAGTTCTGAGTTATCTAGTAAGATGAACTTGTAATAGTTCTAATTTATCATTTTTACTCAATGATGTGTTAGATTATTTTATTGGCATAAATCATATTTTTGAAAAGCCTGATTGCTAATGTTTTCATTTTCAGTATCCTGAACAGGTGGTGCCAACTGAATTTGACCCACTTGGCCCCTTGCCAACTGGATGGGGTAAGTTAGGAAAGCATACAGAGATAAAAGATTATGCACATTGCTTTTCAAATCATTAATCCGTAATGATGCTTGTGACTCTGGTTTAAAATTAGTTGGAGATTATTTCTATTCATTTGGAACACAGAATCTCAATTTTTTAATAATTTAAAAACTTTGTTATTCTTGTAGAAAAGAGAACAGACAGTAATGGTCGAATGTATTTTGTAAACCACTTAACACGTACCACTCAGTGGGAAGATCCTCGGACAGAGGGGTGAGTGCTAGTTTTAAATATGTTTTGTCTCTATTCAAAGTATAAAATGAAATTGAGAATAATGGATACTAGAGTTGAGTACAAAGTAACCTCACAGTTAAGAGTAGAATACCATTTATTTGCTATCATTTGAATCAGGAAACTACATTCCATCTCGATCTTATGTTTAGTGAAAATTATATTTTTTGAACTCAAAAATTTTAGAATTAGTGATAATGATAAAGAAAAACTTCGATTTATGTGGTACCTTTAACAAAATAAAAAGGCGTTTCACAGAAGTATCATATAGTACAAGATGTTAGGTCGTCAGAAAGATAGATTTTAAAATGTGACCTTGAAAGAAAATACAGAGGTGGAGAGATGTATTAACGGTATTCCAGAGCTTAGCACTTGGTAAATAAAAGTATGGCTACCAGCAATGGACGAACTAAAATCAGGATGTCTGAGAGGCCAGAATTGGTGAAGCGCAGATACCTCTGGGGTTTATGGACATGGAGGAGATTACAGACATAGTGAGAGGCAAGGAGATGGGAGAGGATTTGAAAATAAGTGTTAGAATTTTAAAAACAAAAGATGTTGTTTGGGCGCCACTAAGTCGCTCAGTACAGAAATGAGGGGTGAACAGGACTTGGTATGAGCTAAGACATTGGCACTACTGACTTGAATGACCTCAAGTTTACCAAAGTTAAAATGTGATAGATGAGCCAGCGGTATGGCTGAATAGTCACGTTGTAATAAAGGCATGACTGAGAGATTTAGCTACTGATGAGCTGAGGTGGGCAAAATCAAGAAATATTTGGGGCGTTGATATGGATAGTCTTAGTAATGCTACAAATATGAGGTCAGAAGCTCCTCTCTGGGGCAGATGTGACAACAGGGTTGCACACAGATTGGTTTAAACTCTGTTTTTTGCCAAGAAGAGGGATGGAGCCCATATCGGGGGAATGGAAACAGTAGCTTCAGCTTTTACCCAATATTTAGTTGGAGAAAATTGGTTGTCCAGTACTGGATGTCAGAAAAGCAATTTGATGTTTCAGCAAAGGTGGAGGAGTCAAGAGAAGTGGTGGTGAAGTAGAGCTGGGTAACATCAACATACATGTGAAAACTAATACTCTGCTTTCAGATGATGCAGCAGCACCTAGATGAAAGAAAAGGGGGGGGCTAAGGATGGATTATTGGGAGATATCAGAGGTATTGGTGCAGGTGCAGAAAGAGAAACCTTTTGCAAGTAATTCGCTGGCTTCAATTAGATAAGAAAGGAACAAGGTGAGAACAATCCCATCCAACTTGATGTCTGTAGAGAGTCTTTGGAGGGATCGCATGGTCAGCAAGGTTGAGGGCTGCACATTGGTTGGGATGTATGTGGAAAAATGTGTCTATGAAGATAAACCTAGGATGTCATTTGTGACTTAAGAGCTAATTTGGTAATGTACAAAATGGTTTGATAAAGTGGCATCAAGGTGCCAAAGCAATCAGCAATGAATACTTGGTTTCTGTCAGAAGATTGTCAAAACTTGATCTTTTTGGATGGTGACATCATGTAAACATGTGGAAAATGAAGCAGATCATTGATATTTGTCCAAAATGGAGCGAACAAGCCAGACTAGGCCCTCTACCTCTGAACTAGGGCTTATCCACAGATGCTGACTGAGTTGTGTATTTCCAACATCATCATTTGGATTCCAGTGATTAAATCTTGTTGCAATTCTGGCAGCCACTTTCTTTGAAAGAAATCAACAGAATATCCTTCACATTAAGTCTAACAAATCTCCTGAGAGCAGTGATTTGCCCAAGGTCAATTTTGTGCAAAGTTTAAATTGTCTTAATGTAAAAGGGGGAGAAAGTGAGAAACCAACAATATAGAGCTGGTCTCAGGTCTAAAACATGCTGTGGAACTCTAAACACATTATAGTGGTTTGCGCCAGATTGAACAAGTTTGTTTGTGTAATTTTGTTTCAGATTCCTCAATTCAAATCCCTGCTTGGCATTTGTCATGCAGTGGGTTGAAATTGTTAATGAATCCTGTCATTGAGCATCTTGCTAAGGGCAAAAGTCAGACCAAGAATGAGTGAGATGGTTGATAGATTTTTGTCAATTTTAATGTTTAATTCCTTCACCCCATATTGGGTTTATGGGCTGTTGCTGGCTCTTTTTGAGATCCTAACTACTCTATATCGTTGATATAGTACCGACAGCAACTGCTGCGTTACAAATATATTAGTGCTATTTTTGATTTTTAGCATTTTAAAATAATTAATAGAGCTCTGAAACCAAATATAAAGAGCATTAATTAAGATTTATACTACTGTTGTTTAGCCTATAAGTACCATACCCTATAAAGAATTTTGTCGCTTTTGGGAGGGAAGGGAGAAAACCAGTAAGTAATTTAAGAGAAATAGTGTGGGAAGAAGTAAGCTGTAAGACCCAGTATTTATTGGAGTGCATATGGGACTTCCCAATTTAAGCTGTAGTTATCTGTCTTGTATGCCTGAAATCATCTAAGCTACGTGATAACGAGCCCTTAAATAAAATGTTCTTGTTGGTTAGATTGGGAATTGTCTTGAATTTGTTGATGATGTCTTGAGATGCTATGCTGGAATATGGAATCTATATTTGTAACAATTTTGGGTTATGTGGGTAGTTTTCACAGAGGTTGCTATCCGAGAATTTTGGGGTTTTAATAATAAATCTATGGTCCAGTCTTTGCCTTTGTCCTGAGAATAAGGTGTGACTGAATGCTTAATACATGATTCTTGCTCTTAGTGAAAGAAACCGAATTGATCAAATTCGTGGACTGAAACTGTTGAAATGACATAAGATAATTACTGTAGCCCAGAGAGGATTGAAAATTGCAATTCACCAAAATCGCTGATTTCATGTTTAAAGTTCAATTGTTAAAATAGGTTTTAACAAAAAATATTAGGCTTTCACCTTTCACACTAAAGTTTAATTAAATAAACTGGTTATTCTACGAACCAGAGGAGTGAGGATGGTCTGAAAGACAAGCTGGTCTCTGATAGTGTACAGATCCTGTAAGTAGTAGATGAAAGCTAAAAGGGTATCATTAATGCCAATTACAGAGAATGCTAGAGAAACTCAGCAGGTCTGGCAGCATCTGTGGAGAGAGAAGAGAGTTAAAATTTTGAGTCTGGTATAACTGAAGAGTCACTCATATTTGCTCATTCTTGCAGCACTCTCAATGAGAAACCCTTACCAGATGGATGGGAAATGCGCTTTACAGTTGATGGTGTTCCATACTTTGTAGATCATAACAGACGAACAACAACTTACATTGACCCACGCACTGGAAAGTCAGCACTGTGGGTATTTAAAATTTGATCTTGTACATTTTTTGAAACGAAATAAATTATGACTGTTGAACAGTAGTTATCAGCAATGAATGGTGGACTGGGTAGAATAACATTACAATACTGTCAAACCTAACAGAGATTGTTACTGAAGAAGTGTCCTCCGGGCGAGACCTTGAATTACTGTCTTATCTGCCAGTTCAATCTGATGTTTAAAGACCTTAGTACTAGTATTTGAAAATAAACACAGAATTCTCATGGTGTCCTGGCTAATACTTCCCTCACAATATGCATTGCCAGAAAAACCATATCAGCTAGTCATTAATCTTACTGTTGTTTATGGGATATTGTTAGTGTACAGTGGCTGCCAGGTTAACTTGCATAGGTCATTGCACTCCAGAATAAAGGAGTGTCCATTAAGCAAGATAATTTGCTGTGTTAGGGAGCATATAGATTCTGAGGTTATACAAGGTCAAAGTGCAGATTGTTCATAATTGGGCTGTCTTGGATTGAAAGTAAATATAAAATGACAAATAAGCAATCACACTGGTGCTGCAGGATGTTTCAAGACAGTTTCATCCTATATAAAAAAAAAATGCTCATCTCATCTTGGAGTAGTCAATGCTGACAGCATTATTGACATGACCAAAGAGTGTAAATGTTTCGATAATTTTAAAGTTGCATGCTTGAGTTGACTGAATTGCTTAGTTTCCCACACAATTGGCTATGAGATTATATTGTGATTCTTTGCTTCAATGTATTGCTCAAGGCTCATCCTTGCTTTTGTATCTTCTAAAAAAAAAAGTAGCCCAAATCCTTGTCCTCCCACGTTTGAGCATCTTCGATTAGTACTCCTACAAAATATTCGAATGCTGTGCATGCCTTTTTCAGGGACAATGACTCCAATTTCTGATCCAGAAGTTGTAGATCTTTTAAATTAACTTGTGTAGGTATATATGGCGCACCTATGAAGCAGATGGGACTTGGACCCAGGTTTTCGTGCTGCAGAGGTAGGAACACTACCACTGTGCCACAAGAGCCCTTATAATTTGGTATTGTGGGCTGTGTCAGTGCTGTGTCACAAAAACTAATTTATCAATTGATTCAGTCTGTATCTATTGTAATTTATGCTTAATTGCTTTTAAGGGTGCATCACGTTTCTGATTCTCACACAATCTGCTTCTGAGTTACTGGCCTAGATACTGATTAGATAAATGATGAGGTTTTCTTGTGCAGGGCAAGTTGACATTGTTCTGACTGTACAGAAGTTGTATTTAGGATCCTGGTCTAATTTGCTTAATTTCACCCCCTGCTGTGAGGGCACTATCTATCCATGTAGGATGGGTGAAATCTGGTTTAGGATGGAATGTTCTGTGAGTTGTTAATGTGCTGTATGTTAGTTAGAGGCGACTGGCAGAGTTCAAGCATTAATAAGATTTAAATGTACTTGTGTAACTCAAAGAAACTGCTCTTATATTTTGCATCTTACAACCTATGATTTTTTTTTCTCTCCCCCCCCCCCGCCCCCCCTCTCCTCCATATTCCCATCCCGACATTCCCAACCACCTGTTTTTCAGGTCAAATGGTCCAAACATAGCATATGTGCGTGATTTCAGATCCAAAGTTTCTTCTTTCAGGTTCTGGTGTCAGGTAAGCAGTATTTCATTCAGTCCAGTGTGACAACACTGAATTTAAGAGAAGTATTTTGTCCTGGTTTTCTTATAAAGAGAGGTTGAGACAAAAGTAATCTGCTCAAAGGCAATAAACAGCTTGTGAAGCCTCGGGTCTTTATTAAGTTGAAACAATAGAGGCAGCCTAAATGGGTGGGGTCAAACTCCCAGAGAACCAGGATTTTTAGTTTTAGCTTTCAGCAGTTGCTGAGGTCTTGAAGCTGGATGTGGAAGCTCTTATTCCTCTCTGTGACTGCTAAAAGCTGGGGTTCTCTGCCTGCTAATAGAATTGCGTGAGAGACCATCTATTTCCCTGAATTTGCCTTTGCAAATCAAGGATGTGTTTATGGGATGTCACTGTATTGGAACAGTTAATTAGTAGTAGTTAATATATTTTGTTAAACATTTCGATAGTTACAGTTAAGCAGAGTTTATTCTTATTCTATCTGTATTTCAACTGTAGTGTGAAAATCAGGTGTGTTTTGCTTAACGTCAAGTTGTTTGACCCATCGAATTGCATCTAACATGGAATGCCTTACACTTACCTTTAAAATAGAAAAGGTTAGGGTCTAGGCTACCTTAATATACTTTTAGAGGTTTTGGTCTGGTCCATAACTCGTGTGTGTTCTCCTGGTTCACTGCAATATATTCATCAAAAAATGATGGAAAAATTGCTCAAACAGTAGGAATGGCTCTTTAATTATTTATTCAGGGTTTTGCAGAGGTTTAGTTGTAGAACCATTGCAGACATTCCAGGTCAGCATTTTCAGAAGAATGAATATTGCATTTATATTGCGGAATTGTTTTGTTTTCTAGCAACTGGCTGCACCTCAGCACATCAAAATAACCGTGACGAGGAAAACCTTGTTTGAGGACTCATTTCAGCAGGTAATTTTGAGTTGGAGAGAGAAATATAACTAAATAATTTAACCTTAGTGAATGGAACCATAAACAAAGGATCTAGATCCAAGCCCCTTTCAGTGGTCCCTTCCTTCCACTAGACCACCAAGATACAAATGATAATCACAAGTTTTCTCATCCTCATTTATTTTTATTTCCCAATGCAGGGCAGCTGAACTCAAAATTGTTGATGCATAGTTTTGGGAATCTATCCTTTGCACGGGAGAGAGGTGTAGGAGAGACTTAGAGTCATAGAGATATACAGCACGGAAACAGACCCTTCAGTCCAACTCGTCCATGCCGAGCAGAAATTCTATGTAAATCTAGTCCCATTTATCAGCATTTGGCCCATATTCCTCTAAATCCTTCTAATTCATATACCCATCCAGGTGCCTTTTAAATGTTGTAATCATGCCAGCGTCCTCCACTTCCTCTGGCAGCTCATTCCATTTACGCACCACCCTCTGCATGAAAAAGTTGCCCCTTAGGCCCCTTTTATGTCTTTCCCTTCTCCCCTTAAACCTATGTCCTCTAGTTTTGGACTCCCCTATGAACTTTGTGCTTTGTGTAGAAGAGAAGGGGGAATAAATGAAATAAATTAGGAGAAGAAAGTCAAAACTCATTAAGATGTACCACAATATATAGAAGCATCTTCTGAAACTTCAGTTCAAGAAGACTTTGAGCTTGCAAATATCATATTGCCAAGAGATTGCGAAAGTTGTTTTTGTGATTTCTTGAGTGATTATAATGACATATGCAAGAAATTGTGTCCTTGTTGCTAAATGCAGTTGAACTTGTTTGTTTGGGAAATAAGTGATTCTGCCTCGGACTAAGTAAAATATTCTTAGATTGACTTTCGCTTTGTGCTTCAGATTATGAGCTTCAACCCTCAAGATTTACGAAGACGATTGTGGATCATTTTTCCAGGAGAGGAAGGCTTAGATTATGGAGGTGTAGCGAGGCAAGTATTTCCATTATGCAGACAGGCTGATTCAAAGCAACAGTTGTGGTGCTCGTTGCAAGAGAGCATTTACACGTTACAGAACTATAGAATGATACAGCACAAAGCCAGTTGGCCTATGGTGCCTGTGCCACACTTTTTGAAAAATCTTAGACAATTAGTTCTGCTAATGCATTCCCAATAGCTCTTCAGGTATATTCCCCTTCAAGTATTTATCTAGTTCCTTTCTGGAAGTTATTGTTAGCAATTTCCCCCAATGATCTTCATACAGTGCATTCGAAATGATTGTAACTCGCTGAGTAAAATCTTTATACCTTCTGGTTCTTTTGGTAGTCATCTTCAATCTGTGTACTTTGGTTTTCAGTGCTTCTACCACAGCTTGAATCAGAACACCTCCAGTCTTGTGGTCTTTATGCAATCTGTCATCCCTGACACCATTCTAGTATCTCTATTCTGTACCCCCTCTAAGGCCTTGACATTTTTTTTCTAATCGTATGCTGTCCAAAATTGAACATCATTCCCCAATTGAGGCTTGGTGTTTTTAAAATACCATAACTTAATTTTTGCTTTTTGCAAAGTACCTTGTTTTTGTACTTGATTTCTCTATCACTAAATCCAGGATCCCATACGCTTATTTAACAGCACTACCAAGTGGTCTTCCATCTTGAAATGTCTGCAGCTCCAAGTATCTCTGTTCCTTCCCTCTTTAAAATTGTAATTTAGTTTTATTTTGCCTTATTCTTCTTACCACCGTGTATTACTTTGGACTTCTATATGTTAAGTTTCATTAGTCATGTGTCTTCCTACTACCAGTCCTGTCTTCCTAGCCAATTGCCACCATCTGAAAAACAGCCATTTTGTGCTTCTATTTTTTCCAGTTTTGTAGCCATACTGTTGCTGTCCATTTAAATCTGTGGGCTTTAATTTTGTGGGCAAGTCCATCATGTGATCTTTAACAGTCTGTAAACACCGTTACAAACTGCACCACATTCATCAATATGTTGCTGCGTAAAATAACTCAATCAAGTTGGTCAAACATGTTATGCCTTTAACAAGGTCATGCAGTCTTTCATTTCTTCTGTACTTTTCCAAATGAAAGTTGATTTTGTTCTTGATTTGTGTTTCTTTTGTAAGTTTTCACACTACTGACATTAGGTTGGAGATATTAAGAACTGCCGATGCTGGAGTCAGATAACACTGTGGAGCTGGAGGAACACAGCAGGCCAGGCAGCACCAAAGAAGCAGGAAAGCTGACGTTTTGGGTCAGGATCCTTCTTCAAATCCTTTCCTGAGAAGGGTCCTGACCCGAAACGTTAGCTTTTCTGCTCCTCTGATGCTGCCTGGCCCGCTGTGTTCCTCCAGCTCCACACTGTGACATTAGGTTGGTAAGCCTGTAGCTAGTGGATGTACCTTTTTTGGCAGACAAATATTACATACAAAGCTCTGCAATTCCCTGGCACCACCTTTATTTCTATGGAAGATTATGGCCAGAGCCTCAAACAACTTTCAACCTTAATTCCCTTTGCAAACTGGGGTGCTTCCCTTCCAAAGATGACTTTCCTGTTCTGTGTGCAGCCATCCGTTATCTATTTTTATTCTATACAGTTTCCTTTATACTGTGACATTATACCGTGCCCTCTGCCTCCACTAAAATTCATTTTTAGCCCCTAATTGATCCAAACCTTTTAATGTCATGTTCCCAACCTCAGCTAGGCTCTCAAAAGTAAGCTGTTTACATTCTTACTACCGAAGATTACCCAGTGGCTGCCATATTGGTGGGAGAGGCACCAGTTATACAAGCAAAGAACAATACAGTACAGACTTCGGCCCTCCAAGCCTGCGCTGACACATTTTGTCCTTCCATGCTAAAACTGTCTTCACTTACAGGATCTGTATCCCTCTATTCTCTTCCTATTCGGGTATTCGTCCAGGTGCTTCTTGAATGTTGCTCTTATCTGCTTCCACCACCACCTCTGACAGCACATCCCAGGCACTCGCCACCTTTTGTGTGGAAACATGTGTCTCCAATGTTGAACCTGTGCCCCCTAGTAATTGACACCACCACCCTGGGAAAAAGCATCATACTTTCCACTCTATGACAGATAAATAATCATCAAACTGAAATTCATAAATTCTCCCTGTTGGGCAAACAATATAGCCAGTAACACTGCCAGTTAGACCAGAAAAGTCTCTGGTTCCGTGTCCAATCTGTGTTAGGTGAACTGATCCTCTGATTCAGAAAGTGCATATCAACCAAGGCCACACGCTGTTGCTGTTCAGCGTCCTCTACTGGAGGTAGATGATTTTGTATTGGGTGGCCATTGTTGTGATACCTACAATGCTGAAATGGCCAATCAGTCTTCACTGTCCAGTATCTCCCAGGAATAATAGCAGTTTGAGCATGTTATACCATAATATGTCCATGGAACTGTATGTTAAGTTAGGAATCAATGCTTTCAAGCAAAAATAAACGAGAAAATTGAGGGAACCAGAATGCTGACCAAT